ACAAAGAAAGAGTCTGGTGGGCTTCCTCAAGAACTATCATTCTAATGAGATATGGTCACAAAAGACACACTGTGATTTAGTTTTAGGCCATCTGCAAAGCCCTCCTGCATGCCAACTGCCTGTCATCTGACATAGCATGGCTTTTCTTTCCTTCCAAGCTCTCACCACTATGTGGCATGTCTAATTGGTCTGTTTGGTCCTTGTCTTTGTCCCCTACTGCATTGTAAGCAATCTGGGGTGAAGGGCAGGGACCTTTCCACCTTATCACTCTCTGTATCCTCATACCATGAATCATCCAAGGAAAGAGCTTATTCAATAGCTGGTAAGTGACTCATACACGAACATAATATATTGGCTCTGAACTCACCGGGAAGCTGGCAGGAGGCTAACTTTGAGACTAAGAAGGGATCCCAAAACTGTTAGGTGGGGACCTGGAAAGTGCTATTCCTGCCAGGTGATCCGAGGCTGATGCAACTGCTCTGAGCCAGAGAGAAGGATGAACTTCAGGGTTGCAGGAGCAAGGCAGGCTCCTTGGAGGAGGCAGGCAATCATATGACAGGATGGGAAAATATGAAATAGCTTCAGATTTCAGCCTTGTACAGACTACAGCTCAGGGAACTTGAAGAGGAGTCTGCTACAGCTCAGTGGGGCCACAATTATTTTTATGATAGAATATTATTATTATTGTCATATTATTTTCTTTGAGACAGGATCTCATGCAGCCCACGCTGGCTTCACGTTCAATATATAGCTAATGATTACCTTGAACTTCTAATCCTCCTGCCTCCATTGTCCCCATGCTCAGATTACCATGTAACTTACTGAATACTTGTACTTGAAAGATGGCCCAGTCTGTGTGGTTCTGGGGATGCCACCAGGGCTTTGAATGCCAGGCAAGTACTTTATCAGCTGAACTATATCTCCAGCTCTGTTTCTTTCTTTTTGGTGTGTGTGTGGGGTGGTTTTGAGACAGGGTTTCTCTGTGTAAAAGCCCAGGCTGTCCTGAAACTCATTCTGTAGACTAGGCTGGCCTCGAATTCACAGAGAGTCACCTGCCTCTGCCTCCCTGAGTACTCGAATTAAAGGCGGTGCCACTGCCAGTTATTATTTTCTTTAGTTTTGAGGCAGGATGTCATTTTGTAGCCTAGGCTTAGGCCAGCCTAGGACTCCCAATCCTCCTGCCTCAGCCGTCCAAGTACTGGCATTACAGATACGTACCACCACACCCAGATATTTTTTTGTTTATTATTTTAGTGCTAAGTATGTGTATCATTTAAACACTCTGTGGGATGATTTGGGTACTGCTGTTAACATTGTTGGAGGAGCTGAGACCTAGGGGTCAGTCTCAGCTATGAGAGGCATGGCTAGTGAACTCTGTACTCATGGACTCTCTTGTGCAAGGCACACACCCAAAGGCAGCAGGCAGGGATGGTGATTTCTGTCTCTACAAAGAGGGAAAATGGTACCACCCAGAAACCTCACATCAACAGGCTGAACATCAGTCCTGATTCAAGTTTCAAAGTGTGTTATTAAAGAGATTGGCTTGGGGAAACTTAGGGAAGAATTGAATGATTATTATTATTGGATGAATTCCCTGAGAACCCTAACTCTGCCAGGGGAAGAAAGTTTATCTGATTAGTTTTCTGGTCTAGAAATTGCATTGGGGGTGGTGAAGTGTGAGACAGTGGATGTGCATTTCTGAAAGGAGGATTCTCATTTCCCTTAAGAGCCTTTCAGATGATGCAGAGGAACGTGGGCAGGGGGACTGCAGCTAAGGAGGATGAGTGGGTGCAGTTACTGGAATTCTGCTCAGCATGTCCATGGATGCCTCTAGGATGGATATGGATTTCATGTTGGTTACATTGCTGGCAACAGGAACCTAGGCATCTTCTCAGTAGCAATGGGATCCAAGATGTTCTGGATGCTGGAATGTAGGTCCAAACCAATACAGTGAGCCCCTCTTCTCTGAAGTTTAACTTGCCCATAGTTAAACACAGTCTGAAAGTAGTAAATGGAAAATTCTAGAAACAGACATTCATAAGGTAAAAACTTGTGTTGTTCCGAGAAGCCTGTTCTGAGTAGCCAGTGGAATCTTGTTCCTTCTTGGTTTGTTCCACCTGGGATATGGATCATCACTCTGCCTAGTGTATCCACACTGTATATGCTTCTTACCTGTTGGTTGGCCACTTAGCAGCTGCCTTCGCTATCAGACCTGTGACCCTGGAATCTCAGTGCTAGCTAGTGTTCAAGTAACTCTTCTTTTACTTAATGGCTCCCAAAGTGCCAGACAAGTGATGCTGACGATTTTAATGTATCAAAGAAGAGTTGTAAAGTACTTCATTTATGGAAAAAAGAGATGAAAATTCTCTACTTCATATTGGTTTGCATGTACAGGTGCTCAACTTACAACTGCAGACTCATGGTAAGTTGAAAATATTAAATGCATTTGACACACTTGACCTACTTAACATTATAGCTTAACCTATCTTTCTTCTTGCCTGGAACCCACAGAGATCTGCCTGCCTCTGCCTCCCAAGAACTGGGATTAAAGGTGCCACCAATGCCCACCAGCTTGATTATGTCCAGTAATTATCAAATACCACTTTTCCAAAGCTGGCAGCACTGTACACCATAGGACCAGCTGTTTACCCTGGTGAAGTATGGCTGAGTCATAGCTCATGGCTGCTGTCCAGCATCTCAGGAGTTTATGTATGACAGATCTCGAGTCAGAAAAAAGGCTGAAAGCCTAACTTGCACGTGGTCCTAAAGTCAACAACTTGTAACTGGAACCACTGTAAGTTCGGGAGATCGCTTATTATTAGTATTTATTGATTTTCATTTTATGTGTACCAGAGTTAAAGATAATGGCGAGCCTACATGGGTGCTGTGAAACAAACCTATGCCTTTTGCAAAAGCAGCCAGTGCTCTAAGCTCCTGGGTTCCACTTTCTTTCTTTTTGTTTTTGTTTTTTTTGAGACAGGGTCTCTCTAGGTAGTTTTGGCTGGCCTGGAATTCATTATGTAGACCAGGCTGGCTTCAAACTCATCTCCTGAATTAAGTCGTTCAAGATTTTTTTTTAAATAGGAAAAAACACAGTATACTTAGAGTTCAGCACTATACTTGGTCTCAAGATTCACTGGGGCTGAGGGCTTGGAATATTTTTGGAGGATGAGGAGGTGATGGTGGATAGCATGGCAAGGATAAGGTAAAATCAAAGCTGGCCTCTAATTTTGTCTTTAGGCACCTGAACAAGGCAAGAGGCTTCCTGAAGGGTTCTGATTGAGTGGCTTCTGTTTCAGGTCCTGACCAAACAAAGTAAGCTCTCAAGTATTTTTTTCTTTAAAAATTTTCCCCTCTAGGCCATTTCTTTGTAGCCCTAGATGTCCTGGAACTAGCTCTGTAGACCAGGCTGCTCTCAAACTCAGAGATCCACCTGCTTCTGCCTCCCAAGTGCTGGAAGTAAAGGCGTGAGCCACCACCACCTGGCTCAATTTTATTATTTTAGAATTACATTCATGTGTTCTCTGTGTGTATGTATATGTGTGTGTATGCATGTGTGTACCTGGGTGCCATGGGTGCATGTGGAGGTCAGAGGACAACTTTCAGGACTGATTCTTTCTTTATACCACTTGTGTCCTGAGCATCAAATTCAGGTGAGGGTTGGTGTTAGGCTGCATAAACTAAACTGTTAATGCTGCCTAACACTGGAATCAGGGTTGAAGAGCTCAGGGCTGGATCCAAAGTGAGGGAATTGCCCCTTGTCTAAGTCTGTCTGTGGATTCCTCAGACAGTGACAATTCATTTCCTCACTGGATTCCATGCCAGAGCCTGTTCAATGTCCGCCCAGTTAGCATTTCGGGACCCAGACTGTGGCCAGCCCATTCTTACTTTCCACTCTTCCTTCCACCTCTGACCATTGTAATTATGCTCTGGGCCAGGTCCTTTCCTGCCTGCATGGGGGACACACTCCCGTGTGAGAGGACAGCCATCAGCACGAAAATATAGAAATGAGAGTTTGTCAAGCCGATCAGATTGCTAGGAAGTCTAGAACAGGGCATGGAAATGATAAGTGACCTGTGTGGGGATGTGGAAAGCTGTCTTGGACTGCACAAAGAGACAGCCATATGGAAAAGGTGCTGGTGAGGGCATTTGGGGGTGGGGTTGGGTGGGGCACCGGACACGGATGCAAGAATATATCCCTGCACATCAAGTGCGAAGTATGTACTAGAAACAGAACATTGTGGCCAGAACAGAACGAGCTGTGACCAACGGGTAGGAGTGAGGAAGATTTCTGTGCAAATAAAGGGCGTTTTAGGGCTTAAGCTGCCTGAGTGCTGCCTCTGGGGGAATGAGCTTCCCATTAGTGGATGTGTGTTAGAGACTGCCTGCTGTTTACAGAGAAAGCCTGGAACATTGTTCCCTCAACACTTTCAAGTTGAGGAGCATCGTTGGTTTGTTGGAAAATGGGATGGTGTCTGCAGAGTGAATGAACCAAAGCTATAGGTTACCAGGTCACAGGCAGGGGCCAGCTTTGGGGTTTTCGGCAATCCTCGAGGGTCCCCTATTTCCAAGTTCCAATAGCACGCTTTTCTGGAGGTTCCATTAGGAACCTACGGGTCTCGCTGCACCTCGGTCTCCTACTGTCTCATGCCCCGTCTGACCTGCAAGAACCTTTGCTGGCAGGTGGGTTTCTCCCTCCTTCTGTCCCCCGAGTTCCCAGGGCCTGCTCCACCCCACGCCTTTGTTTAAGAGGAGTCATGGGGTAGTCCCCTGGCGGGCTGACCCGAGCATCCCCCAGGGCTCTCCACACTTAGGATCCTCCGTACCCCAACCCTGGTGCTTTTGACGGCCCGGCTCCCTCCCAGTCTCCCGCAGCTGCATGGTGGGCGCCACCGGGGACCCGGCTCGGAGAGGCGGGAGCGCGGGCTCTAGCGGGAACGGGCAGTCGCGGTGTATGCGCGCTCCGGAGGAGGCGAGGGCGCGCCCGCCAGGTGTGCGAGCGGCTGCGGACGGGCGGCGGGGCCCGGTGTGCGCGTGTGCGCGCCGCGGTGACGGTGCACGCGGCTGGGCGGGTTTCGAGGGAACCCCGCGCCGAGGAGGAGGGGGCTCCGTCCGGATGGAGAGCCGTGGACGCTGCGCCTGCCAGAGTGCGCGTTGGGTGAGCCGGCGGGACTGACTGTTGACATTCTATCCACGTCAGGAGTGTGGTAAGGTCAGTTGCTCCGGCTGGCTTGTAATTCCAAAGCCGGCGTGCATCTGGATGCGAGTCCTGGGTGTGACTGAGCGTGGAACTGGAGTGGATGCTGTGAGAGTGGATGCGTATGCTGGCAAAACACGGATGGCCCGGGTGAGCTCCGTGCGCCCATCGCACCCGAGCAGTTGGGCACACTGGATTCTGGATTCTGTTTGGGAGGTAGGGCGATGGTCCTTAGAAATCCTTGCTAGGTGTGCGGGTGCGGCACAGCACACACATTGTGAAGAGGGGCGTGTGTGTGTGGTGTGGGGTGGGGTGTGTGTGTGTGTGTGTGTGTGTGTGTGTGTGTGTGTGTGTGTGTGGTTGGTCAGCCCCCTGTTGGAGTCTGGTGAGAAACGGCTGACCGAGATGGAGGTCAGACGTGGGTGTTTACAGGTGGCAGTAGCAGCAAAGAAGACAGGAGCCCCAAGAGGACCCTGAAGCTAGGCTGCGGGTTGGAGGCGGGCGGGCGGGGGGGGGGGGAGTGTACTTGCTGTTTTCATTGGCAAGGGCAGAAGCTCCAGCCTGTCTGTCCTCAGGCCAGTTTGTGCTTTTTCCAGGAAGAGGGGGTAGGATTGGGGTTGCTGGTCCAGAGACTTTCATGGACCTGTGGGTCAATGCCCGCCTACAGCCTGATGCTCATTTCTAGAAGCCTTGGGTGGGTGTGGCAGTGTCAGCCATAGGTGGGGGTCCTGTTTACAGGACAGAGGGATTCTGTAGGTTGCACTTCGGGTTTGCCCACACTTGTTATGTCTGGCTTGGGAGCTGGTCAGGGCACCCTCCTTTCCTCTACCACTCTCTTTCACCCTTGGCAAATCTGAAGGGCATGTACATGCTATTGGGGCTTGGGCTCTGAATCCAGCGATCAGCTTCTGTTGAACAGACCCCCATTAGGGTCACTAGAATAGTCCTGGGCTGGTATTGGGACATGCCTTTTGACACTAGGGCTTTCCTTTGAGCCCCATAGGTCTCAGTTTCCTTGGAGAAGAAGGCTCTCCTCCTCTCTGCTTCTCCTGCTGTGGGCGAGGGATAAACAGAAAGCTTGTACAGCTGCCTGGAAGCTGGGAGTGACTCAGGGCCTGTGAGGTCTTGGGCAGTGATTTCCCTCAGGACTTGGGCAGGACTTGGGAGAGGCTGTGACATCATCTCTAAGAAGGGTTCTGGGTTGCCCAGTTCTAGGGATGGGTCTGGATGTGTCTGCTCAGGTTTCTGGAAGCTGCCTCAGGCCCCTCCTCCCTCACTAGATGGTGAGGAGTGGGGGAAGGTTGGGGCCTGGGATGGGATGGCAGGTCAAAGCCAAGACCCTTTGTGGTTGCTGCTTTTTGGGCAGGGGCAGATGTTAACCCTGGGAAGGGTCAGGCCCGACTATGGGACTCAACATCAGCCCAGGGTGTTCTAGTTCAACAGGAAGCAGCCTCTGTTCCAGAAGGTCCTCTTGTTAGGGTCACCTCCATAGCCTTCTGCTCTTTCCCATGACCACTTTTGAGGTGTGCTGGTTTATGCCTGTAATTCCAGCATTCAGAAGGCTGAGTCAGGACAATTGCCATGACCTCAGAGCAAGTCAGGACTACAAAGTAAGACCCTATCTCAGAAGCCACAAACAAAAGCTCAAAGTCAACCCCCAAATTCTCCAAACAAACAAACAAAGAATCCTGATCAAGTGTAGCCGAGTCACAGAGGCTCAGAATATGAACTTTAAAGGAAAAGGACCCTGGCATGCATGGCGGTGGCAGCAGAGTGGCACAGTAGCTGGGCATGAAGGTTTAACTACTCTCTTTGGTGACATTATTGGTGACAACTGGTTGATACTGAGACCTGTATATGAATTGCTGCTCCATCTCCCACTCTGTGTGTTTACTCCCTACCCCCACTCTAGAAATGCTAGGAGGGCTTGTTCCCAGCTGTTTACTTGGGAAGTGGTTTCAGGGCAATGGGGGCAGAGGGTCTGCAGAAGAAAGAGCAAGCAATACAGAGAGGCCTTCATGACCACCTGCTACTCTCCTCCCAGGAGTCTCTTGAGGAACATAAGGGCTGTATCTTAGGGCTGCTCCATTGGGGAGAGAAACCATTTGCAGTTCCCCTTCCCCCAAGGGTGGCTTCATGGCCATTAACTCCCTTATGCTTGCATATTACACACAAGTGAAGCTCAAGCGATTCTCTGTGGGGACCCACACCACTTCTGCAAAGAGAGCCTGGTGTGGACATTATTCTGACTGCGGTGCTTCCTATCCAGGCTGGGGGGCCATGACTGGTCACCACGGAGGTGGCTGGGGTAGGAGGTGGGAAAAGAGGCTTTGCAATGACACTCTGAGGCATCCATCACCACTGACTTGGGGTGGGTTAGGCAAGTTAACTTTAAATCTGTTTCCTTATCTAGGGAGGTTTTTTTTTTTTTTTTTTGAGATGAGATTTTGCTGTGTAGCCCAGGCTAGTCTTGAACTCATAGTCTTCTTCATGACTTAACTGCCCAAGTAGGCCTGAGATTATAGATGGACACTACTGTGCCTGGCTTTGCTGAAAAAAAAAATTTTTTTTTGAGGCACTCTTATATAAGCCAGTCTGGCCTTGAACTCTTAATCTTCTACTTCCACCTCCCATATGCTGGGGTTACAGGCATACACCACTATCTCTGGTTCTTAATTGGATTCTGGGGTATTTGGCCAAGGGCACTCACTACTGATGGAATAGTTCTGAGCAGTTGGGTAGGCAGTAGGGCCTGGTGGTTCAGATTCTCAATCACTTCCGTGGAGGTGGAGACCAGGCAGACAACACTTAAAGCTCTTTCTGCTTGTGGATCTGAGGCTCAAGGGTCTTCTGTGCTGGTTGGTGCCTCTCGGGCTATGGCCCAGTTCCCCAGGCCTGAATAGATCTAGTTCAAGTCTGAGAATTGGAGCTAATGATACCCAGGAGGGTGCAGGCACCCCAAAGTGGGCAGGAGAGGATGATAGAGCAGTAGCTTGGAAGCAGGTGCTTGAAGGAGGAGTGGAGGGAGGGTGGATGCTGGCGTTTGGAGCTGGCAGATGGTCGTGGGCACTGGTCTGGGCTGTAGTCAGGAAAGGACAGGGCAGGGGGTGGGGGTGCCCAGAGAAATTGAAGAGCGAGGCAGAAGCAGACTGGCAGGAGGTACCCAAAATGCTGGAGAACAAGGCTTGGGGAGGAGTAAGTTGGAAGCCTTGGTACATGGAGTTAGAGGTGTCTGGGACATAGCACAGGCTGGGCCTGAGGGAGAGGGATGGTGGTAGGAGAAAGGAAAGACTGGTTGAAAGGTACTTGGGGAGTCCTAGAGCAAGAGCCAAGCAGGTTTCATATGTCAGGGTCTGGCCTCTTCCAGCCTCCTAGCTTTTCTTTTCTCTATGTACTTACTCCTCTTGGTCTATCACACCCTCTTTGATGGGGGAAGTGCCATCTGCAAACACTTAGGTCCTGTCATGATCTGCTAAAGAAGTTGTGGATGTGCCTTAGCCAGGGCCTGTTGCCATGGTACCAGGTGGCCTTCATCGCCCTACCCTCTCCCATCTCCAAGCAACGTGGCACTCCCTCCAAGAGAGGTCATGCTGCATGAGCCTCCTGCTCGTTGCACAGACAGCTCAGGCTGGCATTACAAAGGTCACTGCCTCCATCTCTCTGTCTACAGGCAAGGTCACACCCCACAGAGGCTGGGGTGGTTTATCAGTCATTTAGAGACAAGCCTGACCTCCACAGTTGAGGGTGGCTTTTGTAAGTTTAGTCAAAAAACTGTAATGCCACCGTATCCATCTCCTCCTCACCTTTTCAATGCTTTGATGTCTCTCCAGTGGGCAATTCTGTTTCATGCCTGCTCCTGCCTGTCATTTTGTCCTTTGTATGGATGTTTGCTATCACTCTTGCGGGCATCTAGATATGGAAAAGGATTTTCTTGCCCATTTGCTCATGTTGCAAAGCAGCCACAGGGCTTCGAAGCATTGTGGACACCAAATCCAGGCTTGCATTTTGAGGCTCCAGACTTTGACAGAGACTGTGCTGATCCCTCTGTTTTACCCAGGCTCTGGTTCTTGGATTTGCACCTTTCTCCCATGACCAGGTCACCTCTCCTCCCCTCTCTGATTTAGATATAGCATAATCTCCTTCCTGGGTCACACAGGGCTGGCTGGGAACTACCAGGTCTGGATCAGCAGATGGCATCCCAGGCATGGGCACCTGCAGGACTGGGGTCAGTGGCTGGAAACGAACCAGAGCAAGGAGAGAGTAGCAGGCAGACAGGAGAACTGAGGCGTGTGTGTGTGTGTGTGTGTGTGTGTGTGTGTGTGTGTGTGTGTGTGTGTTTACACATCTGTGCTGTGTGTCATTGTGTGCCCAGGAGGCCTTGCAGTTGGATTAATGTGTAGACATCTCTGTGGCTCCTGGCATGTCTCCACATGCAGTGTGCTTGTGAAGGTTCCCCTTTGTTTGGATGAATGAGCTAGGCACCTACCTGCTGGGTGCTCTGGAGGATCCTGGAGAGTGTGATGGCAGGCAATACTTTTCCCCAGCAGGGTTTCTTGCTTCCTGAATCTCCCTGAGTCTTCTCTCCTGACCTCTCACCAGCCTTTCTTACCTCACCTCCCTCCACCCCCTACTGTTTTGAGAAGTTGCTTGCCCTCTTGGGATATGTGGGTGTCCACTGCCTTTAAGGTGGCACCTGGAGAGAATGAGAGTCCAACTTCCAGTCCCAACCTCCCTACCTCTGTGGGGTGGTGTTGGTGGTGTGTTGAGGGGATGACTCAATGGCTGCAGGGGAAGGTGGAAGGGCATGTGTTAGCTTCCTTTGGGGAAGCATGTGCTGCTCTTCCCATCCCCTGACTCACTCTGGTTCTTGTCATCTATGCAGCAGGATGCAGGCTCTCTGACCCCCTGTGCACACCCTTCCTCATTAGCTTTGGTTAGTATGGTTTTAACAGGAGCCAAAGTGGTCTCTCTGGCCTTGGGCTCCCCACTGGGGTCTTGGTCTCTGAAGAATTCAA